GTAGTAGCCGATATTAAATAACTTGCTTATGGATGCAGTTAATATATGGTGATTTTTTGGTGACGAAACATTCCATTTCTTGTCCGATTTTAAATCTTTTGTAAAGTAGCCTTTTCTATATTTAATTATTGTGCGCGGTGCATTTTTTATTTACATGAACAAGTCTGTGGCCATTTAGTTTATTTTAAGTGTATTTTGTACATTCATTGTTTTTGCAGGCGAAAAAAATGTTATTTTACGTAATCGAGGTTTGGAAATATGAATTTGTAAGTTTTCAGTCGAGGAATGTATATTAGCGGAACATTCTTACAGATGAGAATTGAGTTTTCTAATATTGACACCGAATAAAATGTACATACATGAAGGACCTTTGCACCAATTCTTATCCCGTAACCATGAAAGATTGAGTCTCAGTTGAAACCATTATTATTCATATACCATTCTTTGATAAATCTATTGATTTTTTCACAGTACAAAAATAAATTAGTATTATTTGCTGGTGGACAAACCTCAATGGGGAAAATTACTTCTCAGACTGAATCCCTCACACCTGAATCCACTACCGTCTTTCAAAAATAAGACTTTATTTACACAAGTTTAAGGAAAAGGATCCAGTTTTGATATCGGTGAATCAACCATGCTGTGGGGAAGGACTTGTTTTCTGTTTTGGACTTGGCAAGATTCTGGTTATTCCCAGTGATATTCTAAAACTACAGAAAATATGAGGGGAGGGGGGGGGGGTACAAAATAAAATGCTATACACCCATGTTTAAATATGCTTTGCAATTACAATGTATATCTCAACAGACATATAACCAGACGTCATGAAACTACAGATACATGTATTCTGGCGTGGACTTCTTGCTTCGGAGTGAGTTTATATGAATCATTCATGTTAACTATATTCAGGGGGGGGGGGGTGTCAGGCCTTATGCATTAACATTTTCATATTCTCTGGAATGACAGAACCAATATCAACCTAATTTTGGTTAATACTAAGAGCGTCTACAGGCAAGGGAAAGGGGGGGGGGGGCAAAAATGTGAACAAAATGATTTCCTCACTGGCGCCTATGGAATGTGGCCAAAACTCAGAATTAATGCAAGCTTCGAAAATTTTCTTCTTAACTCCTGGAATTCTAGCAGTTTGCAGGATTATAATAAGATAAAACTACAAAAGTAGTGAAATTCATGCACCGTTCCTAGTTTGGCTAATTTGGTTATATATTGAAAATGTATTTTTCCTCTTTACCTATGGACATTTAAGAGGCAAACTGTTTGCATAATTTTAATGACTACTCAATCTTTTCACCAAAATAACGCAATTCATGGCCCCTGGGTTCATGGTCTAGACCCTAGAGTGGGACTTAGTTAGAAATATACTGAAATACATTGTATCTTTCTTTCTAAGTCTTTTTCTCTGCTTACTGACATTTAGCAGACAAGCTATCATCATGATCATAAGAAACACTTTATTAACCCTCTACCCAAAATACGGAAATTTACAGACCAATATTCTAGGTTCCAGGGTGGATCTAAGTCAGTCATTTATTAGAAATACTTTACATCTTTTAAAAACTTTACTCACAGACATCTGCCTGACAAATTGTGTGCATGATTATAATTAACAGTTAGGTCTTTACCAAACTTTATGGCCTCTGGTTCACATCCCCAGGGTGGGGCAAAGTTTGTCATTGAAAAGTACATTTCTGAAAATCGTTTACTTGTACTTACATAGACAACAAGCAGAAACATTGTTTGCATGGTTATAATGAACAGGTAGCCCTCAACAAAAACTAAAATTTATGTCAGCTGGGTCCAGGTGTCAGGCCTCAGGGTGGGGCCAAATTGGTAATGTATTAAAACATTATTCTTTGGTTTACCTCATTTACTTTATTCCTGAACTTCTAGGAGACAAGCTGCATGAATATGATAATGACAACTGGGTGCTTACCAAATTGTAACTTTATATAGACAAGAGTTCAGACTTCCAGCTGAGGCCAGAGTGTCTATAGCATACTATAGTACTCATGATCCTCAGGTGACTGTCAAGGCTTATGGGTCTCTTGTTTAGCATATAATTCAAGTTTACAGTAAAAACTGTCTAATCTGACACTTGTGTGATCCGTTTCACTGTGAATTCCGACCATTATTTTGATCCCCACTTTACGTTATTCTACTTTCTTTACACTGTGTTTTCCAACACTCTGTCTATCCCGACACAAAATTTGCTCCAGTGTAGGTTGGATTAGACAGGTTTCACTGTACTCCTGAGGCAGTTAGCGAGATTCTTATTCCCTGAGATAAGATGCATTTCCTGAGAGTAATCCTAGATTAAGAAAAGATTAAAAATTACTTTTATATAGTGGGAAATCAGTAAATGGATAAAAAGAAAATTAAAAACTTTTCCTTTTTAAAGTAAAGGAGAAAAAGTGCAGCAATATATTAATGTTTAATCAAATAAAAAATGTTTTTCTTCCCCCATTTTAAGACATTTATACCAATCTAATTTCTGCTGAACATTTCTTTGCACTCTTATTTCAATTATATCTGACTCGTTCTCTCACAGGAAAAAAGAATTGATATAAAATGAAATAACAAGAACATTTAATTCCATTGGAGGAGAAAACCCCGGGAATCGTTACAGCATTGGAGGGGAATCAGAAATTGGACAGCATGGCAATTATTGAAAGGCATTTTATTAATTTTAATTTTCATTGAGAAATATGATAAAATTTCAAGCAATTTTGTTCTGATAAATAGCAATCATTTCAACAAGCAATGAATTTTATCTTCCCTACAGATGGCTTTGGAAAGTATTAACAAAACAAAAAAAATCATTTCTCCAACATGCATGTAAGAACAAGAGGCCCATGGGTCACAACACTCACCCGAGTCACTAATGGCCCTGCTGCTCTATATCAGCAGATTCCCCCCCCCCCCCCCCATATATTGTTATGTAAAACTTTGATCACATATTTTGGCCCCATTCTACCTTCAGGGGTCATGATTTAAACAAACTTGAATGTACATTACTTCAGAATGTTTCCATATAAATATGACCAATCATGGCTTTGCTATTCTTGAGAGAAAGATTTTTAAAGATTTTTTTTCTATATATGGACCCTATGTAAAATTTTGATAGCCCATTTGATTTCCCCAAGTCATGATTTAAACAAACTTGAATCTACACTACCACTTGGAACCATATGAATTTGATTTATCATGACTTTGCTGTTCTTGAGAAGCAATTTTAAAAGATTTACCTAAATATTCCTTTGTTACACTTTGATCACCCACTGAGGCCCCATCCTATTCCTAGGTGTCATGATTTGGAAAAAAAACTTGAATCTACACTACATGAGGATGTTACAATATAAATATGAGTAATTATGGCTTTACTGTTCTTGGGAAGAAGATTTCTAAAGATTTTTTCCTATATATTCCCTATGGAAAACTTCGATTACCCACTATGGCCCGGCCCTACCTATTAGGGTCATTGTTTAAATAAACTTGAAACTACACCAAGTAGTGAAGCTTTTGCTCAAGTTTTATCTTTCATCTGGCCCAGTGGTTCTTTATCATCAGATTTTTGAAAGATGACATTAAATTTTCACTAATTCTTCATTATCTTCCCTTGCCCTTCATTTGAACAAACAGAATCTCCCCTTCACCCATGGATACTTTGTGGCAAGTTTGGTTGACACTGACCCAGTGGTTCTGAAGAAGAAAATGAAAATATGGAAAGTTAACTACAATGACAGAAAGTTCACGTGAGCCTTGGGCTCAGGTGAGCTAAAAACAGCCAAGTAACAGTATACAACAATGAGATAAAATATTGTCAGTAATTCACTAGGTTGTTTGAAAATTCAAAATTCAATTTGTCATTTAGCTGCATATGCATCTCTTTCATAATCTTAGACTGTGTAATGTAAGAGTTAATTATTCATTATGTCCATTAATAGAATGATAGCAAATCTGCCTGTGTCTACAGCCATAAATTAGTGACAGCTATGGTAGCATTGCACAATCAATGTGTGAAATCAAATATTGATATTAAACATTTGAAGGACAATAAAATGAATATTAAAAAAATATCTAATTAAAATAACCAGAAGTCAATGAACACACTGTATCTACTGGTTTATAACTTAAGTTTGGTTAAAAAAAAAAGGTGTTTACTTGAACTTGTATACCACTTCTTTGGAATTTATAGCAGTGCAGTCAAACCTGTATTAAGCAACCTTTGAATGGAAATTTAAATTTTATTACAAAGGATCAACTGCTCATAAAACATTATATAAATACAGTTGAACTTAGCTGCAGAACTGTATCTCTCCGAAAAAAAAATTGACAGACCAGTCTGTCAATTTTTTTTTTTCGGAAAGCTACAGTTCTGCAGCTAAGTTGAACTTCGGTATTTCGAACACCGATATATTGAATACCATGGATTTGTCAAAGTGATGTGGAAGTCCCAGCTACTTATTCTTTTAGTATTTTACCCTCAGTATCTCGAATCCTCAGATATCTCAAAGTTTTTTCTCAGTGTCCCATCGAGTTTGAGATGAGATGTGACTGTATATGTATATATACTGATGCAATTTAACCTTTCCAGGATTTATGCTCAGACAGAGGTAGATTTTTGAAATAAATTTATTTTAAATATATTTTAACAGCTGTACTGTTCAAAAATTGTGGCACCTAAAGATATTTATTTAAAGCAAATGAAAACTGTAGGTTGCACAGTATACTGAAATAAATTTAGAGATTATGATGTTTTTAGCTGGCAATACTGATCATTGAAATAATAGATAAATTGGTGTATATTAAAATAAATACACACTGTATCTTGCTATAGTCTAATATACTTCTCAATGAAACATTGTTCAGGCAAAAACTAGAGAAGGGATAACCTTCTAAGATAAATTCACAAATTATTCTAATTTTAGTAACCAAAAATGACAATAATATTCTCCAATTAAATCAAAAATTAAAAAAAAAAATAAATCTATATATCTTAGTGTTTTTTACTTGTGTACCATGTTTTATTGCAATATTAAGTCAAAATATACAGTAGGAGTAGCATTTTGAATTTCATGAATAGTAGCACTATTTGTAGTACCATGCTTATATACCTCACAGAAACTGGAAATTAATCATGTATCTTCATATAGTATACTTGTGTACCAAGTTTGACTAAAATTGGACAAATACTGTAAATAGTATTTTGAAAAATATTTTGAGCACAGTCAAACAGATGGACACCTTTTCTATATGGACATGTTCTTCTTCCTTAAATCCTATGATTGTAAAAAGCAGTCAGTTACATTCACAACCAATTGATTACTAATTAATACAGTTTTCTTCATTAACATTGTAAAATATATTGTGCTGGATATGAGAGCTAGCACAAGGTACTCTGTATGTAGCAAATCAAAGCACACAGGAAAAAAAAATGTAAACAGTGGTACAATCAAAAATTAAATATCTCAGTACTTAACCATGCCCTGAATATCTGGTAGTCAGTTTATTTATAATTAGATGAAAAAATGCAAATGACCAGATTACACTGAAAGATTATAATGTTGGATAAATTAAGCTATACATGTACTACATATACATTTGTAGCCAAAATAGAAATAGCTAAGTAAACTGGCAGTTGAAAATGTTCTTCAAACAACACAAAACAAGTCTGATAGAGTATCACAGATTTAGAATTTTATTGACACAGCCTTTCAACAGCTCACACTCATGCCATATCGTCAAAGTTCTGGGAAGCAAATTGAAGGGCATCTCGTATCTTGGAGCGGCTGAAACCATACAACAGATAACATTCTTAATTAACTTCTCTGTATGACATCACAATGAGAAAAAAAGATGACTTCTTCATCAATCAAGCATCATCCTAACTGATTTTCAGTGTACTGAAAAAATACTCCAAAATCTCTGTTCTTGGCTCAGATCTTCAACCAAATATGACCTTATGTCCTTTAAATTTGCATTATAGTATGTTGTGTGTTTCTGATCAATGCCAATTGCTTATATATTTCACCTCAACTTCATTAAGGTAAACTAACAAATATTTTTTCTTGATAATGCTATGGACTAGATTCTAACTGTACCAATAATTCTGATCACTGACCTACTGCTTTTACTGGAAGGTCGTTGAGAGGTCAAGGACGGAGAAGGTTCAGGGTTATTTGATGACGTACGTGAGTCTGTGATGTCAATGCCACAGGCAGTCCTCAAGGATTCAAATCTGCCACAATAAAAAAAAAATATAGTGATAAATGTAATGAGAAAAATAACCAATGAAACTTTTAGCCATTGCATTCCTGGTTAGGTTCCTGTCCATAACCTTAATGCAACAATGCTGTAATAATCAAAACCAGAAGTCTCTGATGAGACTGTAGCTCTACTGGTCTGTTTGTATAACAATAGAAAAGTAGCACTTGGATTTGAAACATTGCAACATGCAACAATAAATAGAATTATGTATCTTAATGTAGTCTACTTTTGTGACAAGTTATATTGAAATCAAATGAAAACTAGGAGTAGTAGCATTTTGAAAGTATTTCATGGAAATTTCTATTTCTAGTAACCATGACAACACCATTCACCCAAATAAAAAAAAACAGAAATACATATTATGTATTGTAGTGTATTCTAACTGTGTGCCAAATTAGATTGAAATCAGACCAAAATTGTAGGAGGAGTAACATTTTAAAGGAATTTCACAGAAATTTCTATTTTATGTAACCATGGCAACACTGTTCATCGAATTCAAAAACCAATGCAATAAATTATGTATCTTAGTATAGTCTTCTTGTATGCCTAATTATATTAGAAGCAGACTAAAACTGTAGGAGGAGTAGCGTTTTAAAGGAATTTCACAGAAATTTCTATTTTTAGTAACCATGGCAACACCGTCCATCGAAATCAAAAACCGATGCACTAAATTATGTATCTTAGTGTAGTCTACTTGTGTGCCAAGTTATATTGAAATCGGACCAAAACTGTAGGAGGAGTAGCGTTTTAAAGAAATTTCACAGAAATTTCTATTTTTAGTAACCATGGCAACACCGTCCATCGAAATCAAAAACCGATGCACTAAATTATGTATCTTAGTGTAGTCTACTTGTGTGCCAAGTTATATTGAAATCGGACCAAAACTGTAGGAGGAGTAGCGTTTTAAAGGAATTTCACAGAAATTTCTATTTTTAGTAACCATGGCAACACCGTCCATCGAAATCAAAAACCGATGCACTAAATTATGTATCTCAGTGTAGTCTACTTGTGTGCCAAGTTATATTGAAATCGGACCAAAACTGTAGGAGGAGTAGCGTTTTAAAGGAATTTCACAGAAATTTCTATTTTTAGTAACCATGGCAACACCGTCCATCGAAATCAAAAACCGATGCACTAAATTATGTATCTCAGTGTAGTCTACTTGTGTGCCAAGTTATATTGAAATCGGACCAAAACTGTAGGAGGAGTAGCGTTTTAAAGGAATTTCACAGAAATTTCTATTTTTAGTAACCATGGCAACACCGTCCATCGAAATCAAAAACCGATGCACTAAATTATGTATCTTAGTGTAGTCTACTTGTGTGCCAAGTTATATTGAAATCGGACCAAAACTGTAGGAGGAGTAGCGTTTTAAAGGAATTTCACAGAAATTTCTATTTTTAGTAACCATGGCAACACCGTCCATCGAAATCAAAAACCGATGCACTAAATTATGTATCTCAGTGTAGTCTACTTGTGTGCCAAGTTATATTGAAATCGGACCAAAACTGTAGGAGGAGTAGCGTTTTAAAGGAATTTCACAGAAATTTCTATTTTTAGTAACCATGGCAACACCGTCCATCGAAATCAAAAACCGATGCACTAAATTATGTATCTTAGTGTAGTCTACTTGTGTGCCAAGTTATATTGAAATCGGACCAAAACTGTAGGAGGAGTAGCGTTTTGAAAAATTGTTTACAGACAGACGGACAGACAGACAGACAGACAGACAGACAGACAGACAGACAGACGGACGGACGACGGACACCTTACTATCGCATAAGCTCTTCTGGTCTCTGACCAGTAGAGCTAATGAAAAAAAATGAAGATTACTTTGAGTATAATGAGCAGAGTGAACTAGAAGCTACATTGCATGTTATTGTTCGTGGATAGGATTTGTATACTGAACTGCTCTCCATGACACAAAAGCCTCTGGCCTTAGAGATTCAAATTTTCTGACTATTTTATGAGTTGACAGGAAGATAAAAGAAGATAAATGACTACAGAGGACAGTAAACAGATTAAATTACACCAGCTTTGTATGAATTTATTTAATTTCCTTTAAACGATAAAATAATTGATCTGTTGGCTGCCTTGATTGGTGAGGTCTGGTGCCCAGATGTTGTGATATTGATTCTACTTTAACATCAGTATCCGAGGTGTGATAACCAATGTTTAAAGTTTATAAGTAGGAAAGTATCAAAAGATCTCGATCTCTCTGTACGAGATGACACCAGTAAAAAACATCAGTACAGTAACAAATAATCAACGATTACAAAAAAAGAGAAAATTATATTTCATAACAAAAGGATGAAGGCTATTCATTGGTATAGGTGACAGATGCAAATATTGAGCAACATGCACACATTTTCACTTGAGATAAGACACTAAGACCACAGCCTACGGAGCAACATAAGTATGCCCACTTGAGGAATTACCAACACAATCAGGATGAGAGAGGCTTTAGCAAAGCTACTCAAGCTACAGCAGTAAAAAGTTCCATAGCAACGTGGCATGCAGGTGTTGCATGACAGATCCCTTTTCATGTAAAACAATCAAACAAACAGGATACATTTATTGACTATCAATAGAATTTAACCAGGATGTAAGATATTAAACATTTAAAAAACAAATTTAAAAGTTTTACATGTATTAGTAGAGAGGGCATTAAGATCTATTTTCATTTTTATATACACATATATATGCTGTCATCTACAAATATCAGAATATTTGTATCTAATGACACATATATTTACATTTTAACATATAGATTTTACTGTAAGACATAACTTGATTTAAAAACAAAATTAAGAGATTTGATTGATATATTGTTTATCAACTATTAACTTTAAGTGTATGTAGAGGCATGATAAAGTGCATCTTTGCATCTGCAACACTCAACTTCATTTTGAGAATTTCTTCCTTGGAGCACTTGGAATGCTCCCATTACAGTCATTTTCAGAAAGTCTTGGCATCACTTAAGGAATAAAAACAAACCTTTTTTTTCCTCGAAAAAATGCTTTTTTACTTAGGATGAGCAGAAATAAACTCTTGTAAACCCAAATTATGGCCAGAATTTTTTGTTGAAGGTACAATTTTGGATTTCTTTTTTATCCAGCTCATGCACACTTCGTTCCAGTAACATGATGAAAATCATTCATTATATACAGCCATTAAATTAATGCCTACACAAAGTTGAATATAAAATTATTAACAGTGTTCTTACTTTCAAAGTACAAAATTATACCCATAACCTATATCTGTTTTTTTCTCTAAAAATCAAATGTTGCATTTTGTTGGCTAGTCAGCATATACTGGAATCCCCCCTCCACAGTAACTTATGACAAATGCTAAATGTCCACTGTTAATACATGTATTTTCAATAAGAAAAGAAAATAATAAAGGCACTCCCACTATCCCTGACAGAACAATATATACTTGCTAAATGGTATATCACATTTAATACGTGTACAGTAAAATTGCTTCCATTTGAAGTATTTTTTGCTACTTTCTTGTAGAAATTGAAAATTATTTAATAATTGTTTAATAGATTGGTGTGTACAATACAACAGTAAATGCAGATTGAACTGAGAGTATATTGAATTTATTGACCTGTTGTAGAACAAATACTGTACATGTACATAAATTGGCTTATTCAAACTTTAGCGCAATCACTGGGTATGGCGTTGTTGGCGAAATCATAAATTAGCGCCACACATGGCCGTGCCAGGTATTGTATTTATAAATGATTTCTTAGTGGTATTCATGAATTAGTGCATCGTTGCCTGTGCCAAAGCCGCTAAAATATGAAGCCCGCTTTTTTAAGTACACATACAGTATTTGTTTTCTCTAATGAATAATATAAATGTGTTCCTAAAACTGTAGAATAGGATATTTAAACATTAAGGTAATCCAAGATTACAAAGTTTATCTCAACAAATGTTATCTTTACATAAAGCAAAGTATCACACTAAACAAGTGTGTTTTGTGCATCCCTAGATACAAAATTTCTGCAAAGTTTGGTCTGGGTAGGAGTTTTTAGTTACATGTACTTGGGAATAGACTTGCTCCAAAAAATTTTCTGTTATTGATAAATCATCTGATTGGAAATGGACTTGCTTCCAAACTTTTTCTGTTATCGATAAATCATCTGAAAAAAGTAAGATTCAGCTTCTGAAGTCTGGTAGTGTGCATCCCTAGAAGCATTATCCATGTTAGCATAATCAGCATAGGGCTTATAATTCAAGTAGTAACTTGGGGGGAATAAACCTCTTCAAAAAACTTTAAACTGGCCAGTGTGGTCAATCCTCTGGAAAATGTAGGTCAAAATCTTAATCTCAAGCAAGTCTGGTAGCTTTCATCCCTACATAATTATCCATGCTAGATTTGTCCAGGTAGGGTTTATAGTTACTATACATGGACCTGCACCAAAAACTTTAACCTAAAATATCTTCTTGCTATCTATTTCACTCATCTGAAAAATGTACTGGTTACGTCAAGCATCCGAAGCAAATCTGGTTGTTTGCATCCATAGATGCATCATCCAAATGAAAATGTGTCAGCACCAATACTTAGAATTGGTTGAATCAAAAATGTATTGTTTGGCAGATTAATCATAATATTCATGTACCTTGAGGTAGAAAAGATGATTATATGTGGGAAACATACATTCTTCAATCTTGCCTAGACTTTTTACCCTTGAGAGATATATAAGATTAATCTTGGATCAACAAATATTACAGAGTAGAGTCTTAAGATGCAATTAAGCCGTCTATAGACATATCCCCATGGTTTTACATGTCACAAAATGGTCCAACAAGTACGCTACGATCTGTTGTCTCCCTCATTACCCAAAAGCTAAGATGAATGATTCTGACACCATTAACCTGATTTAATTGAATGCTTGAATCTCTTCCTCCACTCAGGAAACAATAAGTGAATCAGGCAAGAAAATCTCATCGAGCACACAACAAGCAAATCCACTCAGCTACGAAAGTGAATCATACTTTGTTAGATGGACATGATAGCTTTTTCTATGTTAAACTAATTGCATCACATACTTATTTTTTTACCAAACAAGGCAGAATATGCCTTATGTTTTAATTTAAAATGATTTTAAGGACTTAATTGTGAAAACGTGACTTTTTCATCCCTCTGGGGAAGACAGAGTCTTGTTTCCACATACAATTGTCCCCTGAGAAGCCAGAGCCTAGATTTTGCCCATGGCTGTACATCTTCAAAATTAAAACTGCTGAACTGATGCAATTAATAGAAAAAAATCTGTCTAGAGTAATATACATAAGTTACTAATATGGAGCTGGACAAGCATGCTGAGAAGACATTTTTTAGAATCAGTTAATGACATGGAAATGCCAGAAATAAGAAACTAATTCTTGTTGTAATTTCCATAACAATGGCACCTGCATGCCAAGTGTTGGCCTTTTTCTTTTGTAAATCTCAAGAAGGATTTAATATCTACATATAAATGAATTCATGTAATGTATTCCTCTGGGTAATTAAAACATAGACATTGTTTGAATCCTACATAATGAAACACTGCATTGCAGAAAAAAAGGAAGTTTCACGATAAAACTACTGCCTTAGTCTGAAGATAGAGTGTACAGAGAGCCATTTTGTGGGGGAGGAGAATGGAAGCCAAACTCACCATTATGGGCCCAAAGGGAGCCTATAAGCTCCAAAAACTCTCCAGTTACTGACACATAAGAACTACTCAAAAAAAGAATTCCTTTAAACTAATCCTGGTATCCCTCATCCACAGAAAACAGATTGTTCTTTTTATACATCATATACTGGTATTTATTTCAAATTTTCTGAAGTCCATTAATTCTGTTGCACATCTGCTACAAAGTTTAAATTCAAAGAGCTATTTTCTAGAAATATATTGAAATATTTTTTTTTTCAAATCATATCTCATCTGGAATATTGTTTGTATTTATAAAATACTATAAATAACTTTATTTGCGAGAACTTAATTTTCTTGTAATAATGCGAGACAGTGTGCTCGTGAAAATTTCATTCTCACGTATATTATTATTTCTAAAGATTATATAGAGAAATAACCACAATTCGTGAAAATTTTGTCTTGCTATAAATTAAGAGTAAATGACTTTCTCACGAAAATAAGGTTTAGCGAAAATTAAGTAATCTACAAAACATGTACAGTGACACCCACCCTTTCAACAAATGAGGTCATATGTGTGGTGTTGAAATTTGAATGAGAAAATCAATCCCCAAAACACTTCAAAATAGTTTCAAATCATGTACAAGAGATGTAAAAAAAACTCATGAATAAAATAGCATTTTTCTTCTCAATATATAATAAAATTTACCTATCTAAGATGCTTTTTTCAAATGAGACCATTTCATTGTCCATAGCCTTCATTTGTGTCTCCACCTGTCGAACACTTATAACTGCAAAAAAAAAGGATTAGATTTTAATTTCACTTTGAAAATGATTTTTTCTTTAATTTTAATGCATAAATTTAACTGCAAATGCCATCAAGCCCCAAAAATCAATATGGCTGCTGTATTTATAGTCTTTTGGAGTGAAAAAATCATTAGTTATAAATATATTGTTCCAAAAATCATCAAATCACAAGGGATTGCACCATTAACATTTTATTGCTTTGAAATGAGAGAAAAATATAATAACTTTTTCTCAATTATCGTTGATTGATAACATTTGCTACTCCATTTTTCACCACCGAAGCGAGAGCTTCGATATTGACGAGCTTTAGCTGCCAGAGTTGGTAGATCAACTTATAAAAATGGCTCTAAGAAATTTGAGTCTATTACTATTTCTGTTTAAATCATGAGACTAAGGATGCAAATTATAATGTCTTCTTATTAGATTTTTTTTACAGCTAGAAATATGCCCATAGGACATGAATGCCCCACCAAGGGCTCATTAATGGTAATGCAACATGAAAATTTATCAATTTTGCTGAACATGTCTTGAACATAGGGCTTCGCAATAATATCGATATTTCGGCATATTGCGATTTGTTAACAAAAAATATCGTATTGCGATACGTTTTTCCAGTACCGGTATATTGGTTAAATGCTTGGGCTTGGGATTTCTAAAATAAAATATGAAATTTAAGATGCCAGAAACACTTTCATTCATGCTAAACAATATAAGGTTGCTGTTGTATGGTTGAATTTCATTGCAAAACTGAAGTGAAATTGACAAAAACTTTTTTTTGCTACAATGTATTTATAACACACGTTTAATCACTCTGATTATAAATGAAGGTTAATAAAATAAGAAAAGAGCATTTTAACTGTTATTAAAAATATTGCAATACATATCGCAATACAGTTTAAAATATCACAATATATTGCAATACGAAATTCCCAGCCGATACCCAGCCCTACTTGAATAGTTTCTTTAAAAATGAGTTTCATACGCAATAAATAGTAAAGCCAAAGGTCATTGGGAAGGTCAAGGTAAAATAAAAATGGGCACAGTCAGTAAATCCTCACCAAATATAATGCATCAGCTTGCATAAGCTTACATAAAAATATCTTGAATAGTTTCTTTGAAACTGAGCTTGACAAAAAGGACAAGATAGGCTAAGACCCCTTTTTGGTCCCTGATTTGGGGTGTCTTTTAGAATGATGCAACAGTTTATCAATAAAAACCTGTTGTCACCCCTGGTACAAAATGAGTATTGGTTCAAATTTATGGGATACACTGAGGTCACAGGAAGGTTAGAAAATATGTCAGTTTCTGAATTTTCTCATTTTTATGCAAATTTTCATCAATTTTATAGCATATTTTGTTTCAGAAAACATAGAGCACAAGCTTGCCCATATACCAAATTTATATATTTCACACACTAGTATCAGATGCATCTTATGTATAAAAATCTCAGATAGGCAAGCTTGTGGTCTATGTTTCCCAAAGTGAAAAGTATCTCAAATATGACAAAATTCCACCAGAATTGCGGAAATTCGGGAAAATAACCTACTTCTGCACCCTCTTGTGCCCTCTGTGTAAGCTTTGAATAAAAAAAAGTGCTGGTTTTAAAACAAGCATCATTTTAAGATCTTAACTACAAACTATCACAATTTTAACTGTGTTCTGATTTTTTACATCAAATAAGGGGCCAGATTCAGATGTTACCATACCTTCTCCTTTGAGAAAAGTTAGGTCAAGGTCAAAGTCAAAAATGTTGATGTCATTGAAAAGCTCTCATCAATATGTCTTAGCATATAAAGATTAATAAATTATCTTAAATAGTTTCTTTGAAATTTTGCTTAACACAAATTTGAAGTCAAGGTCAAAGGAAAGGTCAAGGTTAAAAATGCTGATGCAGTTAAATACCTCTCATCAATATGTATCAGCATATTAAATTTTATTAAAATATCTTGAACAGTTTCTTTGAAACTGAGCTTTTCACTATTTTAAGAAGTGAGATCAAGGTCACGGGAAAGGTCTAAGTAAAAAAATATTGATGCTGTTGAACAGCTCTCATCAATATGTATAAGCATATAATTTTAAAAAAAAAGTGAAGTCAGGGTCAAAGGAAAGGTCAAGTCAAATAATGTTGAAGAAGTTAGTATGTATCAGCATATAAGGTTTGATAAAAATATCTTGAATAGTTGCTTTGAAATTGGGCTAAACACTAATATAAGAAAAGTGAGGTCAAGGTCAAAGGAAAGGTAAAGGTCAAAAAATGTTGATGCAATTGAATAGCTCTCATCAATATGTGTCAGCATATGAAGTTTGATAAAAATATCTGTAACAGTTTCTTTGAAACTGAGCTAAATGCATAGTGTGATGGAAGGACAAGGACAGAGGAACAGAAGATGGACTTGACAAACACTATATGGTCCAGTCATATTCATGGCAGGGCTTAACAATCACTCATCATATTTTTTTCCTTCAAAGTATTACAATCCTAGCTTTAATGATATAGTCTTGGTGATGAAGTTTTCAGAAACTTTATTTTGGCAGCCCTTGGGTCAAATAATACAAAGAAAACATGATTCGTGCATGCATGAATTTACCTACATTTGTTTGGTTTAAAAATTAAATTCTTGTCAATTATCAGACACTTCTAAATGTGAATCATCTGTTACGTCTGTATTGACTCTTTCTTAGCCACTACACATTTTTCTATCATCAGAAGATCATATAGTAAAATAGAATTTCTCTCTCGCTGAGTTAGCTGGCTTCAATTATGTAAAAGCTGTTAATTATTTTTTAAGGATTTCAGATTTAATATTCAGTCAGGAAAATAAAACACTCCACTCAAAATCAGCTGGGAGAACCTAATAATTATCACTGTTCAAAAAGCAAACATGTTTTTTAGAATTAGAATTTTGTTGAGCAAATTTAACTTCCTCAATTCAATTCACTAGAGAGATTCTTAAAAAAATAAAATGAAAATAGTGTGAAGTGATTATCGTAAACGTATTACATTTGGCCTTTTCTTAGTGCCTTTGGCAGAAAGCAACTTCCACTTATTCAAGTGCAATGCTTAGATGTCTTGCAAATATACCATAAATAAGGACATTTAAACATACGTTTAAGTTAACCAAAGGTAATAATTCTATGTATAATGTCACCTGCTCGCGTAGGTTTTGGAGAAATCTGCACATTGAAAAAACAAACAAATCGTCATTTTTTAAAGTTGTCTACTCAGGTTTTCTTCTACTTTTACAACTAAAAACTGCATTCCATAGAAATATACAACATTTACACCTTGTATGAAGTATATTTAGGATGACTCTATCATTTAAAATGACAGATTTACTAAAAATGATCATTAAACAATAATTCTACATAATGCACAAATATTTAAAGTATCTTAGTTCATGTAAATGTGTAAATTCTCATCTGTTTGAAATTTTTGTTTGTTAAAAAAAAAATTTCTCCCTCCCTCATAGGTTCTGAAGTTTTTAGTTGACCTTATATAAATGTAGAATTAATATCAGCCCATAATACAATTAATACAATCTATATTCCATAACTCTAAGTCATCAAAGTACAAAAGCCCATTGAGTTCATTTTCATAAATAAAAAAAAATATTTTGCATTATAATGCGAAACTTTTGCATTATAACGCGTAATTTTAGCGTTAAAATGTGCAACTTTCACGCTTTAATGCGAAACTTTCATGAATAATTGCAAAACTTTCATGTAATAAAGCATAACTTTTGTGTTATAATGCATAACTTTTGCAAATAAATGTGAAACATTCGCGTTATAACCCTTAACCTTCGCATTAAAATGTGAACCTTTCCCTGTGAAGCAGAGACATTTGCACAAGTCTTCATCTTCTTTTAATTTAATGATCTAGTTTATTCATTACAATGAAAAACGAATGACTCTTTTGAAATTTTAGTTTATCACAAGCTGAAATTTTATGTTTTCTCCCCACTGAATGTGTTTTTCCTCTTTCTAAATTTTTTTGGTCGTCACATATTGTCTTTCTCAGCGCTGTTCAAACATTTTCAAAGTCTATGCCAGTTTTTTCAGTGTCATTTTTAAACACTCTCTATAGAATTTGAAACAGAATTAAGATCTCCGAAAATTTTCAAATTAATGTTATTCTGTGTTGAAATTGAAAACAACAATTGAATGATGTCACATACAAATTTTTACAAAATCATGTCTGGCTAGTAAAAGTGGTACTGCAGTTTAAGACAAGATTGAAAATTGAAATTGAAAAAAGGAGGAAAATATTGAATATTTTCCTCCTACATGTAAGCAGAAATGTACTTACTAGTGGACGCTGACATAGGTCGCATAATAGGTGCACCACGGTGGGTGTGTCTTTTTATGTGTGCCTGCAAAATAAAGTATAGTTGAACTTCATTACCTTGAATGTTGATGCCTTGAATAATGTAATATGTTTTGTAAAAAGAAGAGATTTCAGAAAAAAATTGTATGAATTAAGATTGAAAAAAGCGAATCTTTAGATAATCTCAGACATAGTATCTTTACATAAACTTCATGAATAGGTCACCAAAAATAAACAGTACAACTTGGCTTCTTAAAGACCTAACAGTTTAAGTATTACAAAATACCACTTAGGGCTCTCAGATCCTGGTTTGAAAAAGCGCTCAAGATTTCATTCAAATTGGGGAAATTTGCGATGTTTAGGGAAAAATTGAGAAAATCAACATATGAAAATCAAAAAGCTTTTAAAAAACTCATAGTTTGGTTTTCTATGTTATGTTATGAACTTTATCACTAATAATGATGTGTGAGAAATGATACCACTTAGTGGGGATAAAAAGTTACCTATTTTGATAACAAAATGAGTCTGTTCAGTGGCCTCAATGATACTGATAATTAAGAACCCTGCTACTTTTCTATAATACAGTAAAACCTTTAAATATTATCTCAAACTCAATGGGACCAAGATCAAACTTCAAAATATCTGAGAATTAGAGATATGAGGTCAAAAAAGACATAGAAAATATGGTTGGGAGTGCCAAATCCCTGGTATTGTTAAAATAAATTGGGTCTGATCAATGAGCTGTATTCCAGTGAAAAATAATGCATGAATCTATAGCAAATTCATAAATAATTCCCATTTATATTCTGATCAACACATGACTAAAATAAACCCCTTAACAACATCAGACTTCCTCCAACCGTGGACCAAAATCCTGACTAATATCAAAAACCAATAAATGCATTTGACATGCAATGAAAAAGCTCTCTCCCCTCAAAAAACTAGGGATTTTAAAATGTATCAAAAGGTAATCGCTGAGTCAATGAGATAACTATCATTGATCAATCACCTATGGAGGGCTTATGCAGTGTTTAAATGATAATAATCAAAGAATCAGTCCCCAGGTGATTGATTCCCAGCAAAGCTATTTCCAGACAGTTGGCTTTCCATTACAGATTATCATTTAGGAATTGATTCAATAGTGTCATCCTTTTTTGCAATTAAATATCTTTTTTTCTCCTTTAGATAAAAACTAAATGCATGATTTATTGCAGTATTACACAAGAATGTTTTGGTTTGATATTGAATATTCTTTGTTTACTTCAACACATTTATTTTAAACCCCTCCTCCCACCAAAAAAGGGGGGGTTTAAATTTTTGTATACATCTGTCAAATTGTTAATGTGACCCCATCACAGCTTTTTTTTTTCTTTTTTGAGGATTCTTTTCGCCTACAAAGGATGCTTTACGGTTCGTGTATTGGAAATAGCCCCATGGTTTTAGAGATGTTGGGAATATAAAAAAGTATAAACATTACTGATAGACCAAGAACCAAACTTTGACCAGAAAAGCTAACATAAGCCCCTGCCTTTGGTAAGGTAGTAAAACACACTGAAATGCATTGAATGTACATTACAGTTATGTATTATTTTTATTTGACATTTAAATGACCTGTCATTTAAATCAAATTCAAAAACCATTTTATTTGAGGTACTAGATTTTTCTGTCAAGATATTGGATTTCAAAATTGTTATTAGCGAAGTCAAATAATCCTCTAGAAATTCTTGTACACCAATTACATCAGTTATAACAATGTGTCACCATTTCATACACAACCTTGTGATACATATAACATGTGCATGTAAAGTCATTTTTATAAATCTTCAAATTATGCTTCATCAACCAATTCCATAATTATATGATATAGATAAACTTCTGTGACTTTAGCATATAATCATGTCACATGGTCTCTTTTCTCTCTGTATAAAGTTATAATTGATCTCATTTGTGTAGGCTATTCCACTCATGATTTTCAAATTACGAGCTTAAATTTCACATGAAACGTTTTATAAATAGTCAGTTCATACAGATATTTTGGTGTAAATTCATGCTAAACTACTTCCAGAATATTTATGTCACTCCAAACAACTCATGTTGGTATTGGTATAGCTGACTCTGTCTCCATCCTTCTGTCTCTCTGTCTGTTCACAAAACTGTGTACGGACAATATCTCTAGAACCCTTTACTTGAATAGGTTCAACTTGGATATTTTATCACTCATGATCTAAAATTTACAGTCACATCTCTAAGGTCAAAAGGAAATGAAATAGTGTTTGGTCAGGCCCCAAACCCTTGATCTTAAGGGGTTCAAACTTTAACATGATGTTGCCCATGATCTTAATTGTGTGTCTGATTCAAGGTCATATCATAAATGTCAAGGTCATTGCGATGATAAATTGAGTCTGAGCCAAAACTCGAGAATTGTGATTGGAGTGAATTCAATTTTGAGTATGTTGTAGCTTATGACATAGAAGTTTGTCATGACTGTGACTCCAAGATGTCAACATCACGTTGGGCAGATACATGTAATGGGGTACAGTTGTTTTTATTTAAAAAAAGAATTTAAAAAAGGTCTACTTGCTTTTGTGATTTTATGAAAGAAAGAAAAAATTACAATAACCTCAACATCACAAAATAAAGTTTCAGCAAAATTACTGTAACATTTTCTCATAAATTTCAATAATTGCTAAAACTTCACAAGTGAATTTAATCTGAACTTGACATAAATTTTGAGCTGGAAACATTTGCCTATGAACAACATTCAAACTGACCCCATCAAGAATCTCCAGTTGAGGAATAACTGCCTGGATTTCTGCCATGTAGTGGGAGTGTTCTGATCCTGGGGCACAGAAGGGGTTCTCATAGAGAAACAGCTCAGCAATGTCCTCACACCTCTCCAAGCAACACTGTAAAATCAAAGGACAATATGACATAATACCAATATTCACTAGTTCCACCATTATCTTACTGTTCATTGGATAAAGTGTGAAAATCAAATATATGAGAGAAGGAGGACATCACACATGATACCTAAACTAAATTGTGACATATAGCCCATGTTTTCTAAACTGATGCACATCTCTGATGCTGCACCTGACCTACATTTCATGCTTAACTGGCCCTGGGTAATGGTAGTGTTTTAGTCTATTCCAGTCTTATCACATTTAGTGACACGAAAAAAATAAAAAAATAAAAAAAACAGCAACACATAAGTCAGACATTTACTTGTCTAATGCACTTTTCTGATGCTGCATCAAACCTACATTTTTTTCCCATAAGTGACTGATTAGAGACAGCATTTATATCATCCTGAGTTTATGACAACTTATACTCAGACAATATCTGATATTTTACTGTATTTTGTTTGGCATATGTCTCACATAAGAATATATTTCCTGTTATGGCACCTATGGTTTGGACCAAAAATGTATTACTAACCACTTCATCTAAGGTTTTAATATTGTTACAGCTGATGTTGAAAATCTCCAGTCGAGGAAAGAAGTCAGGTATGAATGAGAGCTCTGAAATTCTGTTTCCAGAAGCATACAACTCCTGAAGACATCTGTAGAGAAAAAAATAAGTGGTCAATGATTTATTATCATGAATATTAATTAGTACTCATCTAATTAAGGAAAACTGTGTCAATGTCAATCACTTACTTTGATTTTCCTAGTGGTTTCAAACTAGTTATTTGATTGGAAGAAATATTTAAAGTCTGAAAAAAAGAACTCATTCACATCAGGATTTATCAATAAGTTAAAAAGATTTTTTCTTTTGATGTTGAAACACATAAAGTTAAATCTGCATGACATTAATTACATAAAACTCTAAAATTTTAATAAATAAACAGTTTATAAGAATAGTTAGAAAACATTTCTAAAAGAGAAAAGTATCTAAAGGGAGATAACCCATACACAGACCTGAAGGTTTGGAAGGTTCCTGATTCCAGATAAATCTGTGAGCCTATTTTTAGAGACATCAATGTCTTGTAATTTTTTACACCGTGACAGATCCAGTGTTCTGATCCTGTTTCCTGCTGCATAGCACTCTTCCAAATTAGGTAAGTAATTCAAAGCCTGAAAAACATGACATCTTAAGTTAAATATAATTTTAAAAAATGATAAATTACATGTACCTAGAATCATACAAGAACCTTACAGAGGATCCATACATTTACAAGTACATATGTACTTGGATATTTTTTCTCAGAAACAAGTGAATTTTGCTATAATGGTATTCTAAATGGTTCATTATACCTTCTTTAAGGAAAAAAATCATTAGTTCAGCAAGACAAGCAGGAGAAAATTAATTTGGTTTTTGTTTAAAAACTTTCCTATATACCGGTACAATGTATATTCACTGAAAGAAACTTCTTTAATAAAGAATTTACTACTCAGACCTCTTTTTAATAAAGTTTAGACTATTGCTCAGATGGAACTTGAATGAAACTCACAGACAGGTTATCCACCAAGTTATAGCTAACATTAATGGATGTCAACTGAACACAACAGGACAACTCGGAAGCATCCAGGCGTAAAATCTTGTTACAGTCTATCCTTATGGTCTTCAACTTTTTCAGTGATGAAAAACCTTTGCCTTATATAATTGAAGAAAAAAAAATTGCTATTTCATATGAAAATGATAAGGAATTCTAACCAGAAATAATTTTTTGCTAAATTAATTTAAAAGATAAAAAAAAACATTTTTGACTGAGTTGCCTTACCTAACTGCTTTAATTTGTTGTATTGAAGTTGTAATGTAACCAACTCTTTTAAGCTTTGAAGGAAAAAGAATGAAAAAAAGATGAACTGTGATTCATAAATAATTCTGCTGCAACATCCTCTACAGTTATTTATATTATACTTACATGTAAATTATTTGAATATGATTCATTGAGAAATATTTGTTAAAAAACACTATAACCCAGTCTGATTAAATGATGAAACCATGCCTTCCAGCATGATAAAACTAGGGATGTCAATTTTGTCAATAATTCATATTCGAATATTCAATGAAAGTATTCGAATATATTCGAATATTCGATAAAATAAATAAAATCTGTTTTTTTTAAATATGCATCATCCTACTCTCATGAAAGGTTTAGCGTAGGTATACTTATATTGGAAGTAAAATTGTATAAAGACTTTTGTAGGTGTACAATAAGAAATTCCATTTGATATTTGCCAATGTTTGAAATAAATTAAATAATTGATTTAAATGTAGAAAAGTATAATTTTAACAAATGAAACATGTGTATTTATAGTAGCTCCAACTGAGGAACCAGTCGTCTTACAAAAGGCAAGATAGTCATAACGGTATACTATTCAGATTTCAATACGTGTTATAAATTACAATTATCTGCCTAATAAGAGATATGATTATAATCTTTGATACAATGTAAACAAAAATATTTCCATAGACAATCTTTCTAGGTAATTAACTCATTTCCCGATAATGAATGTAAAATTCAGGATTATGTACAACCCGAGATAATCAAGTAATTTACACATTTATCTGAAATTAAGCCCATTATAATATTAATTACAGACTAATTCTCTCGGACATTCATTCAATGATCAATTAATTTTATTTTGATAAGTATATATACTTTTCACTCCTTTTAAACATTCTAAGATTTCATTTTGTTGTCCTCGACTCTAGATCCGATCGTATCTAATAAAAACTATGAAAGTACGTTTTGTAATATACATAAAGCATTATTTTACAATTCTTTAACATCTTACTCAAAAGGAAATACATATAATTTAGTAGATCTATAAGAAAGTAGTGAAAGGAATCAGGCGATCGAAATTGATCGCTAGTAAATTAAATAGGGATAATTCCAGCACTGTTCTAATAAAAATTTATTAATCACAGTACTTCTTTTTATGAAATCTGAAAAACACCGAATATTCGAATCTTAAATTCATATTCAAATATCAACTCATCGAATGAATATTCGAATGTTCGAATATTCGTTGTTTTCTTTAAAATTGAAGAATTATTGCAATTTCACAGAGCCTGTTTTCCAATACCTGGACTTTTTGAGGAAACTTTTTAATAGGGAATGAAAGCACTAAGTCTCTACTTTATCTTGATGTTTGAAATGGAACATGGAGTGTTAGTCAATGAAATGGTATCTCTACAGGGCCATTTAAGCACAAAGTGAACCTAGCTCTTGAGTGGGAAATGTAGACTCTTGATGACCACATATTTACTAAAGTGATGTTATTTTCTCACTTGTCTATGCACTATGACATCAAGAATTGCAACTTTATTCATATTTCATGAAAATTTCTTCTACTATGCTCAATATTTTAACCTTTTTGTAATATTTTGAATAGAGCATATTCTCTAGCTGTTACAAAATTTAAAAGTAAGTATCAATAGATTTTGTACTAATGCTCATTGAATACATTTTATTTCTTTGATCAATGGAGCTGTAGTCATATATGAATTGTCTGTTAAATATACTGAAATTTACCAGTTTTTCGTAAATTTCAAGAGTATTCCAAATTCACAGTGTCTGTTCTCCAACACTAAGAGTCTCAGAAGGAACTCTTTTTATAGGCCACGGAAACAAGAAGATCTTTCTTAAATGCATTACCTACCTTTTTGTTTAATATAATTATACTGGAATTTTTTGCACTAGTTGAATTCCTTAAGAATAAAGTAGATAAATAAAGTAGATATGTATGTTTGCATATTTTGGTAAAGAACTGTAATACACAGATAATGTTTAAAAACTTAAGTTCTTAAGTTCTTACTTTTTGAGATTTTCTACAGTAGTGAGTCTGTTGTCGTAAAGCTTGAGCTCTCTCAGATCCTAAAAAATAAAACCAAAAATGTTCAAGTTAAACAAAAATACTACAGGTACAATTCTGATTTGTTATGAGTTTCCCCAGTAATATCTATATTCCTGTATGATTTAATCAAACCATCCCACCATAAATACAAATAGTAGGTGTTAAATGTCAGCTTACCTTAGATTGGTCCAAGTTTTCAATATGTTCTATGTAATTACAGGATAAATCTAACACTCGCAAATTTGGAAACTGAAAGGGATACACATCTAATTTAGGCTTTTTAGAAAGTATTTAAGAAATATATACTGATTTCCAAATAAAAAAGACATTTGTTGTCATAGAAATAAATACTCTACAACATATCATGATTTTATCTTTTTTCACTTATAAACATTAGCATGATTACATGTACTAAGTTTGGGCTTTCATACCTTGTCAAGCTTTGGCACCACAGTAAGTTCTGCTGCATGCAAATTAATGTCATAAATTCGGTTAATATCTGTTTCCTGGTTTTGGTCCAACTAAGAAGTATAAAACATTATTTTAAAAATAATGCGAAGCTTATACATATACATACAGATATGTTTAGAAAAAATCATATGTATAAGATAAATCTTGTTGGTTTTATAGTTTGTAAAAGCAGGATTCATTAATCAATATTGACATGAATTTTGCAGACAAGAAACACTGCACTTGCTGTTTACATGCATGTGTATTATACCCTAAATGTTTGAATAAGTATTAATAAAATAAGATTAATTAGTTGATTTCAGTTCGATTTTAAATTTCCTTAAATTTAATGTTTGAAGAGTTATCACCCTTACAATTTCTTCCTCTGTCACAGTTTTCTGTGGTTTCTTTTCCCAGAATTCCACTTCCTGTTCTGCCTCATTTCTAGATCTACTTGATGTACTTCTAGCACTAGACAAAGCATCCTTGACCTTTGCAGATGACCCTGGCGACCTCTGATAGTGGGAAGAACTAGGTGGACTAGGACTAAATTTCTTGGAAAATGGCCTGGAGCTTAAGTCACTAGTTGGAGGAGAGGTCTGTTTTAGTTTCACTTTCCCTGATCTGGCACTAAGTTTGTCATTAGTCATGTTAGTTGTCCTCTCTGCCGACACTGTTTTGTCATTGTATATGCCAGTGTTCACTTCACGGTATTGCAATGGACCACTTCCTTCATCTATGTATTTTTTACTTTGTGGTGGTGTCGATAAGATTTGTCTGAAATCATGATTAAAATTTAGTAGTAAATGAGGTCTGAAATATTTGGTCTTGAGAAAAAAGAAAAATATTTATGATATGATAAATGCAAGAAGAGAATCAATTCTTTTTATAATCCATAAAAACCATGCACATCTAATAACTACCTAACTTAATATTACACTAACTGATACAGTTTCACTTAGCAAATTTTAAAAAAAGTTTAATATTTGAAAAATAGTACATTGCAATACTTATGGACTAAACATCCTTGAAATATTTGTAACACTATGTAGTTTTACAAAGAGGAAGAAATGTAGCCAGCAGGGCCAGGATTTTAGTCCCAAATTAAATGAACTCTTTCCACATGTTACAGTTGCTTTGCCAGATGAGCTAATTAGTTAACATGATAATATGTCACGTTGCACATCAATGGACCACTATAACTTCAAATAATAAATATAAACCAAAATAAGTGCTAGGAATGAACATGAACATTGTGCAAATTAAAAACAAAATATTTATATGATACTCTGTAAGATGTAGGGATTAATGAATGTAACTTTGGTCTTGACCAATTTTGAACTAGTCCAAAGAGGCTGAAGACATCACCGAGTGTGGCTAAGAATTCCATATAAACACCACTGTATGGGGGAAAAGCTATATTTAAAGTAGTCTGTGCAGGTGCTAAATGTCTGAAAGTGATGAGGGCTTGTGTTGCATGTGTTAGTGGCTAACTGTGGAGCTAAGTAGAGGTCAGGTTTATAGCAAATGTGTGAAACTTTGTTTAGCACTGTTTGTCTCCATAATTGTTTCTTTTGTGTTCTAATGATCATGTTGATGGCCAATATTGATGTTGCAATATTTTGCAGACACTACTAGCATTATGATATCTGTGTGTGATGTAACATGAAGCATGTCACTTTCTCTACTTTATCTTTGCATTCCTGTGTATGTGGTGTCCAGATCGAGGAACAGCATTCAAGATTGGACCGACAGAACCTGACACTAGATTATAGTGATGGGACATCGGTTAATTTTCATAATTGATCATCGGTTGGAATCGGTTACTGCTTCCGATGCGATTTTACCAATTATAATCGGATGTCATAGTTTTGTATATAAAAAGCAGAGCAATGCAAGTATTTCATATTATTTCTTTAACATGAATATATAAAATATATAATATATTGTTTTCTTTGTTGTTTTGCTTCTTTTAGACTTTCTATATATGATCTTTTGGTTCTTAATCACCTCTGCTTTGTGCTAGTTGGCTTTATAACACATAAGACGCCATTTTTCTTTCATTATGAAGAAATAAATTTTAAACCGGGAACGGATAATTCCGGATTGAATTTTATAAGAAGTACGTTTTTGATGATCGATTATGAAAAATAATAATCGAACATCGGATTTTTTCCGAACATCGAATCGAGCATTTTTTCGTCGACAATTGAATAATTGTTCTCTGATTATCGATACAACACTACTAGATTAACATGCTAGATATTTAGTTTCTTCATTTTTTTATCTGTAAATTTCTTTTTTAAAAGTCCAATATTTTATTTGTCTTAGAAATTATTTGTTAATGTGTGGTTCCCAACCAAGACATCTTGCTAGATATTGTGGTGCCCAAGTATTTTGCTGTACTGATGGTACGAGGTAGTGGTGGTTACAGCAGTGCTCAGTACAGAAGGGATAAAGTTAATGAGCACAGAGTGTACCATGCAGGATGGTTATTCTAAAAACTAAATATACTGTCTTGACACTTATACCAGTTTAGAAACCGGTGCTCTACCTGATGACAAGCATGTTACTAACCTGGGTTGCGGTCTTCGTGCTCTGGGCGGCGGATTGCCGACGGGTAGCACTCCGATTTGTCTTCCAAGTGTCGAAGGTACAGATCCCGATGTTCTTGCCTTCAATCTACCATCCATTTTGATTTTGATTATAGTGGAAAATACACTGAATCATTTTGTTGTTTACCTTGGAGCTTGGGCGCCATATTGGAATTTTAAATCGATATAGATTTGTATTCCGAACCCGACCTATCTTTTGCTTGCACTGTGTTGTAATTTTATCGTAAACACAAAGAATTATAATCTAAATAGGTATGCTAAAACCTATATAATCTGAGCTGATTAATTCAAGTAAAGCTGACTTGAAAATAAATTCAAAATTGTCAAAGCAATTTCCAAGACCTCAATTAATAAATCACAAAACAATAATCTTTAAAAGTCATATTTAAAGAAGATGGGTGAACATGACGAGCGAAAAGCCTATAGTGTGACAAAAATAAATCTCAATTATATCAAAATTTTCCTTGATATTTCATCTAACATTAAAATATATTTTATGTAAAATCTAGTCTAACAATTGGCAAAAATCTCATGAAAATTAAAATTATTTGCTTATAAAATATTATACACACACTAAAGATGGCAAAAAGAGTCATTTTCTCAAACTATAACACTATTTTTCGATATGAGTGGGTCTTTGCTCCATTTTTTGGAAAGTTAATCCTCAAAGTTTACATAAGAATAAACATTTTTTGGTTACCAAAAATATGGAGCAAAGACCCATTATACCTTAAAAATATACTTTTAAGACATAACATTTGCATCTTTTCGAGAAATACTTGAAAGTCCATTTAGTCAAGGTTCATATCATAAACATGATTTAAATGCCACTATTCATCAGGACTTGTGTAGTCTAGTGGTTAGCGTCTAGTCTCGAAAGAAAATGATACTAGGGGGTTTTATTGCTAGGGTTTGAACCCCACGTATACCACATTTTTTTTTAATAAAATAAATTTTGCCTAGAAAATTTTCCTCAAAGTTTTGTTTATCATAATTTTATAGATTTCAATAATGAGAACTTTACTCTAAATACTAAATCCACAAATTGAACTTGATTTTTATACATCTGAAGCTATAGGCTTTCTGCACGCTATGTTCGCCCATCTCCTTGTTGTATAAAGCTAGTATGAAAGCAACATAATTGCCTAGTATAATTTTCTCTGCATTTGCTTTAATCAAAGCAATTGCACTTAATCTGAAACCTGTGACCTTGTCCAAATATCGACCTTAGTACAGGGTCAAGATACACCTTTGTACACAAGTTATTTTGTATCAAGTACAAACTTAATTGTTTAAGTTATGTTGAGACCAGAATTTTACTCTTATACACATCAAAGACAATATAAAAACAAGACATGTTTGTGAAAAACTCAGATACCCTGTATGACAGCTCATGGCTAAAGTTAATGTTTCACAAATGCAAGTTTAACTCCATGCAGTTTTAACTGTTCAAAAGCTATGGGCAAGGTTGAAGTTTTTTTTTCCAGACAGACAGACCAAAAACTATGTGCCCCAGTCTTTGATTACAGGGGCATAAAAACAGAATATAATTATTCTGAATTAGATGAACCAAGTGCACAAGTTCATATGGTTTATAATTAATGTTTTTTTTAAAAAAGTAAGATATAGTTTTAGATCAAAAAAACTTCTTTCCTTAAGTGAGGGACAAATTTTTTCCTGCATTAGCTTCAGCTTGTTTTCTTGTATCATGCAAATGTGTTAATGTTATGCATAATTTCATATACACCTTGTGTGATTATATGATACAGTGCAGAGGAAAAAAATCATTTAGTGCTTTTAAAAATGTTTTCATTAAACTCATCATACTTTCATTCTTCTATAATGTCACTACTTATGTTGAAAACAGCAATTCCTTTTTGATAAAGCTGTTATTTTCCCCTAGTAGGCTATGCTATATATACCATGTACAAAAGAAAGCAATTCTCATTTTGAAGATTGATAAAAGATTTTTTTTTGTTGCAATTTTTAATCTTAGAGCATTTACTGTCAACGTTATGAATGGAAATCATACTGTAAATGTACTTTTTCCTCATGGGATTAATTTACCTATGTATGTAGTTCCAATTTTTCCACAGAAATTTGTCGCTGCATGCAGTGTCCTCAGAATACAATAAAGGCACACAATGACATTCAAACAAATTCTTCACAATTTTGAAAAGAAACTGTAATTCTACAGAAATAAGATTTAATGGGCAAAAAGTATGCATGGCTACAGTATATCAATACCAGTATAAATGATGCCATTTTTGAAATGAAAACAAGGAATTGGATCAATTTTTTTATTTTCCTAGTAAAATATCAGTGAAATATGCATTGACTATCACATAAGCAGTTCTCTATGATAAATAAAATTTTCAGTTGTAAAAAATTGCATTGCATAAAAAATATCCATGAAGAGAAACTTCTCTTAAAACATAATGCCCAAGAACAGCACTAATACATGTACTTCTCCAAAGGGAAGTAACTCTAATATGGCTTTAGTATTCAATAACTTTTATATGCTATTATAAAAACATTTATAACAATAATACATGACTATGATGACTATTCTATGTGGACCATGTGCTATAAATAACGTCTTATGAAAGGGGAGGTAAGTCTGACCCAGTATGGCACAAATCTGTCCGCTTTCTGGTAAGTATCCTCGTCTGTTTGTATTCCATGTGCAAAAAAATATTCTTGTTCCTGTTTATAAAAAGGGAGAAAAATGAATGCAGCTTAATTAAGACTTCATAAAGTTTTTGTTTGAACAAAGTTTTTTTTTAATGCTTGCAAAAGTGCCAACTAAAAATTCTAATGATTCTGTTATAAAAAGATGGAACACTTAAAATGAGAGGCTTAAGGTGTTACCCTGTGAAGTTCTGATTGTAGCTGTTTGTTCTGTGTGACTAAAGCTATTTGGCATTCAAGATCTCTGTACACTGATCGATGCCCTAAATAGAATTAAAAAGATTTTAATAGTTATATAGCTAAATTGTTCATTAAAAATAGTTCATGGCTTCATAATGACAGTACATATATATGGAAATGATATTATCATAGTACTCATATACCGGCACATTGTTCATTTTCATTAAGTGAATCTTACAAAACACATGGTATGCATTCAAAAAACCAAAGATGTGCTGAAAAATTTAACTTGATCTTAATGTATGACCTTAAATAGTATGATGTTTTGACCTTGTCATTGAACTTGACAAAACATGTTTCATCTATCATTTTAAAACTGCAGTGAAAGAGTTGAACTTGACCTTTAACTTTAATTCATAATCTTCAAATAGACCTAAACTACGTAGCATGCAATTTTTTTGATTTAGGGGGAGAAAATTCTTTACCAAAGTTGGAAGATCCCATCATGCAGAGAAAAGGGAGAGTCTGGTTGGGGAGATAATACCAGAGACCCTTTACATGGTATGTCCACTGGTCCCTGTAATACTCGTACAACCGGATCCGGTGCTGCATATTGTGGTACAGAACCAGGTGGTAAAAGCTGGAGGCAATATAAGTGTATGCATCAGGGATGTTCCCGATCACCCCTCTGGCTCCATAAAAACCATTTACCTAAAGCAGAAGAAATCCAACTATCAAACTCCTACTCTGTTCTGAATAGAAAACTTAACAAAGGGATAATTTTTCATGTTGTTTAATATTTATAGGCAATACATAACACTGTTAAAATTTGATTGATAAACTATTTAGATTTACAGTAAAACACATTTAAGGCACATGCCAAGGACAAACAATTTTGATTCATTATAAATGTAATTTGTTATATTCAGAAAGTTCAAGATAAGTTTTAAACCTTTGGCAAATGAAAATAACTTTCCCATATTGGCATACATGGCATAAGTGTGAATTCATTATAAGTGTGTTCTTTGTAACCATATTTTACTGTACTTCATTTCTGTTTCTCTTTCTATATTTGAAATCTATCTTAATTAATACAGCTTTTCACTGTGGATTAGAAATTTATAAGAATCAACTCTAATTTCACATTTAAAACAGCCTCACCTGTGGAGATGCTATTAAGAGATCAAATTTTGCTAAAGACTCGAGGACAATAATGTTCTGGTAATGTTTTGTCAGATTGAAATATCCCGTGGCGAGTGAGATTTTCACTCCATCACTGGCAGTGCGCAATAACTGCTTCACAAATGATTCTTCTGTTCGGATACCAAACAAGGCCATCTGAACTAACGGATAAACATAAGTGTCACATTTTGTTTTTTTCTTTGCCTGCATGTCTTCCTGTTGACTTCTCACAGATCTGACATATTCTGTTACTGTTTTTCCTGCTGCCTTCTTGAAACCTTTGTTATTTCCTTTGGTAAAAAAATAATTACTTATACAAATATCTGAGCACTATTCAGTCTGTAACGTATGACTTATTTGTAATGAAATGTGAAATACACGTACAAATACAAAGAAAATTATTTGAAAATACACATAGTTGAGATGGTGACTATTTCAAAGGGCCCCTCTTTTATTAAAGAACATTAGGATAAAAGATATTTATAAGGGATTGTATTTGGAGTTTGAACTTGACCTTTGATTTACACATTTACCAACTAGCACTTTTTGGTTGAGATATTAGCCAGATGGCACCAAAGGGAGATAAAATATGTTCAGGAGAATGATTGCACAAAAGAGATTTGCTTAGACCTTTACATCTGACTTAAAAACTTAGTTCATTATTAGGGCTAATGAATAGAAATGAATTTTTTATTGTGCCAATTGATACTAAAATTGTGTACAAAATATTCTCATTTTACAGTGAAGAGCTTAGCCCATATTTCATCTCAACCATTCCCTATCTTCAACAAGAATTACTACATACCTTCATATGGATGAATTTCCCAGTTATGGTGTAGCCGTGTACTGTTGTCAGCTTCAAGTGATAAACTGAAAGTAGACACTGTTTTCACAAGTCCTGTGAAAAAGTCGCACATTTCTGGACAGTCATTGAATAACACATAGCGATCTTGTCTGTTTGTGAAGTAATTATCACTCAAATTGGCTCTGAAATCAGAAGAATTTTGTTTAAAATAGCAATCAAAATGGAAAAAAAGCTATTACATTTTCAATGGTAAAAAAAAATCTGTTTTCATATTTTGTGGTGGCACACTACATGTATATATTGGAGGTGTATAACTTGTCTGTGCTAAAAAAAAATAAAAGATATAAACTACTGTACACCTTTATTAAAGGTTACAATGTGGATTACATTGTGGGTGAACCATGAATCAGAAAGACTGAGAAGTACTACTCTCAGAAAGAATTTTATACACCTGTAGTGCTTATTGCTCCATACTCAAGAAAATGTGGGTGAAGTATGAACTATCATATATAATTCTAATAAGATTTTTACCTTGAGATGACCTTGACCTATGAGGTAATAATGTGTTAAAGGTCAATGGACATCCCACTCCCAGTGAAACGGTGTAAGTGAAATACTTGGTCAAAGGACAGATATAAATTCTCCAGACATTGTACAAAGATGACCTTTAAGTTAAAACTTGGTTCAAGGTCACTGCATAGACACCCCTTATCTATGGGTACCCTATGAGCAAAAGGCAGATGAGGATAAATCCTGGGCACATAATATTGAATATATGTAGTTAAGTAATGTAGATAGACATGCAAACATACAGACAGAGGGCCCACTACACAATGTAGGGCCCTAACAGGTTAACCTACAATACACGGCAATTTAATAAAAAAAAAATGCTCCATTTCTATAATTTTTCTAGAATTTACACAAGAATCACAGCATGATAAATGTTTAAAGTATTGTATTTTTCAAAATTACTTTCTTGATGTCTCTATCTTTTTGTCATATCTATGTTTTTCTTTTTCAATCCAAGTTTAACATTTAAAATGCAAGACATACCCACTCATGACAAGACTGTCATCAAACATGTAGACCTTCATGTGCTGGACCCCAACTGTCTCATCCATTTTGGGGGGTAAATACTTTTTCAGGTAACCACTGAGGTCGGGGGTGTGGTACAGGTACACCTGGACTGTTCCACTGTAGCGCTCTAAAAGGGGTGTCAGCATGGTTCGGGAGGACACATCTCCCCCTCTTGACCCCCTGTTATAGTCCAACAAAATGTGGACCTCAAAGTCCTTGTTCTTGGAATCTTTAGCCCTCTCACAAGCATATTCTATGGCATTGACCTATTAAAGGAAATGATAATAAATTGATATCTTTTTATGTACACTCCTCGTCCCAAATAAATTCTTAATAAGATTCACATATATTTATATGCAGTTTAAAATTTGAATTTTGACATTTGAATTTTCATCCACAGGAAAGCAGAAAAGTCTTTCTTTTTAAATAATGCATTTCAGACATGTTTAAAACAAACTTTTAAAGAAAATATTGTGCAATAGCTTTAAACCAGACTAATATTGTTCTCTTACCAATTCTTCTTCTAGCTGACCAGTTCCTAAATACAGAGATGCAATCACTATCCTTTTCTTGGCACCCCTAAAATTTTTCTGCACAAAAAAATTGTGATTTTCTCATCTTTAAAAAAACATAGATACCTTGCTTTTAATCCTGATACCACTTTCTATCAGTTATTGCATTACTAGTGAGTATGTTATCTTCTTAATAGGTCTTTTGGTACATACATATATAAGCAAATGATAAATTCAAATTTGCTACATATAATTTTTTTTGAGATATTTTCTTTACATTATGTAGAGCAAAGTAACATTTACATTTACCAAGTTAAATATTTATACCTTAAGTGTTTGATAAAATTCATCTGGGGTACGCAGAATTTCCACAGAGCTTCCCTGGATACCAAAGCATGGTGAATAATCGCTGACCCATGGGAGGGTGTTACATGAGGGTTCTGTGGGGTTAACAGTTTCCTCCAACTTTGCAGCCGCTGTGCCATAAGAAAGTAGTCTGAAAATAATTTTAGTAGCTAATGAGCTTCTTAAAATCACCTACGTTCAATCCTTCAACTTATTTATAAAAGTTAAAGAATAGAATTACAGTAAAAGTAGTTTAGTGCTAACACAGATCTACCAATTTTATGGATATATATAGGGTTCTCAGCAAAATACTTAACAATTCCTCATAAATTTTATGGTTATAACAAACTCTGATATAATGTATTTATAGAAGTAGCTTATCAATTTTGTCTCCGAAACGGATTAAAAATAATGAAATTTACATATTTTGTAACAAAATTTTCAAAGGTTTCAAAATTTAAAATATTGTGATATTTTGAAATCATTTGATATTTGTCACTATGAAAAATATCAAATTATCATTCAATGGAAAAATAGCAGTATATTTCACTGTGAAAATGTAAATAGTTATACTTTCAAAAAAAAAGAAAAATTAAAAATAAAATAAATAAAATTATGAATTAAAAATAAAATTTCGGAAACGATAAATATAAAATAAAAAAAAAAACCTGGATGCAAAATTCCAAACATTAGTAAACATGGTATCCCAGTTATAATGTTTCTTAATCAGATATAAATGACACAGTGGCTTACAGACAGGAAGAGAGAACAAAATCTCCATTTTGCCACGGGCAAAACTGTTGATATACCCAAGGCACATGTTAAACTTGGCAAATCAGGAAGCTTTTTCTGGACAATCCTTACTACATAGACTGTCTATGTTGGATAATGTTATGATCAATTAACATAACTGGGGAGAATCCAAAAATCTATGTAGATAAATCAATTGTGAATTTGCTGAATATATAACATAGGTATATTTGCTATATACATTCTAATATTATAGTGATTGCAGAAATTCTCTGTAAATAAGTATATATAACCTAAAATTGTTATCGTTTGAAAAAGCACCTCAAATTTTTTTTCCCAAATTTTATATGGAAAATTTAAAGGACATAAAAGCTTGAATTTCCATTTTTCAAAGATAATTTAAAGCAATATGAGGCTGCAACTTTGAGGTCAAAAATTTTTGTTGCAAAATTGTAATTAACAATTTCAATGATCGACAGAAAAAAAAAACGTTTATAAATTTCTGTTGTTCATATTTGGGATGGAAGAACTATTTATAAGCTCTGATTGAAGCAAAATTACATTATTGTCGTCCTGTACAATATTGATTTCTTATATAATACTATACATTTGATTGTACAGAATTCTTCATTCTGAAACAATTTGATACTTTATTACTATCTAATTAATCAAAAAGGTTTAAATTCCATACAAATTTTTCATAATAACACATTTTAACAGCAAAATAAAATTCTCAAAAATGCAGCTCATATTGCTTTAAGTTTAACTGTCCTACTGATTGCAGGGTTTCAGATTGAAACAAGCAACTATAGGACACCTGGCATTATATTTACCAGAAAAGTTGTAGGCCATTCTGTCCTAAAGCTCCTAAAATTATACGCCAATTTATAGTTAAAATAATGTAACTGTGTCTCGGGACGTGTCTAGTCCATAGGACATTTTTTCATTTTAACGACTGAACATTCTATGTAGTCAACTAGTAGTCGAAAATATACAATTAATTTAACAATTCTTTCACAGCTTAACTTAATGAAGTCAGCTAAATAACCTAAGAAATAAAATACTGAACAAGTAACTCAGTTGTATTTATTTTATTTTGGAAAAAAATGCCTTATTTACATTTAAAAGTTGCTTTTCTACTGGATTCTCATTAAGTGATGCTAGTTACATGTAATCACCATCATGCCCATTCTCTCAAGCCATGCTCAGACCGGATTTCACTCAGAACTCTCTATACCAGAGGCCAAAGAGAGGATAGTACATTTTGCTTGTGCTTGGTGACTTTGAGCCATACCTAAGGTTAATGCTAAGCCATGTACTCCAAAATATTCGCATCTCTTTCGACGTGGTTTTATCCATTTTTATGCCCCGCCATGAATATGGCCGGGGCATATAGTGTTTGTCATGTCAGTCTTCCGTCCTTCCATTGCGCTTTGCGTTTAGCTCACTTCAAAGCTAAGTTAAAAAGAAACTATCTAAGATATTTTTCTCAAACTTCATATGCTGATAGATATTGATGAGAGCTATGCAACTGCATCAACATTTTTTGACCTTGACCTTTCCTTTGACCTTGACCTTACTTTTCCTAAATTAGTGTTTAGCTCAGTTTTAAAGATATCATTCAAGATAGTGTAATCAAACTTCATATATTGATACATACTGATGTATGCTATTCAACTGCATCAACATTTTTTGACCTTGACCTTTCTTTTGACCTTGACCTCACTTTTCTTGAATTAGTGTTTAGCTCATGCAGGTAGGTTAAGGCTTCCCGAAGAATATCACAGTGCACTCTGTGCCTTCACATCTCTGAACTACCAAAATATGACGTCATAATGGAAAATGACGTCTCGTCACTGCAAACTTGAAGTGTTATGACGGGGAGAGTGTCATGAACTTTACACTTTATTTCAAACTGCATGTAAAATGCTAGATAGCTATTGAAAAATTCAGGGTTGTTAAAGGTTTTTAAAGTCTTATATGTCCGAATATTTTAAAAACACACCGCTTACCTACCCTTGATTGAAATTCAGCATGTTCAAAATGCTTATGAAAAATATACTTTTGAGATGTACTCTGTTATATACCCGTGGTTGGAGGTAGAATTTATCTTGTGTGTATAACAGAGTCTGGCGCAGGTGATTAAAAGGATTAATCTGAGAATTTTTGTGGAAATCTGTAAGAAGAGGTTGTTGTCGAACTGAATCTTGCTTGGGAAAAAATGTATGTTGGCTTTGTTTTAATACAGATTACGATATTGTGTGGGAAATACCCTCAAATTTGTAGGTAAATTGAACTTCTCAGGAAATATTTTGTACCCAAGTAATACTATGACTTTTCTCAAGCACATTTCAGATACACAAGGATACGATGAGTTCATTTATATAACAAAATGTTAATAATTATTATGTTAATCAGCTGCGCCAAAGCGATTTATATGAAACACTTCAAAAAATTATAAATGACCGTCACGTGATCAACAAAGTCATGTGATATCATAACAAATATGTTAATATATACCTGAGGAAACCCTCTATATAAATTGGAAGTACTAAAGTTCAATACTTATAAAAGAAAACCAAAACCGACCTCGCAATGACATATTATGTTTTGAGCCCATTTTAAAGCTTCGGGAAGCCTAAACATAGCTGCGCAGTTTTAAAGAAACCATTCAGGATATCTTTATCAAACTTCATATCCTGATACATACTGAAGAGAGCTATTCAACTGCATCAACATCTTTGACCTTGCCCTTTCCTTTGACCATGACCTCACTTTTCTTAATTTAGTGTTTCGCTCAGTTTTAACGAAACCATTCAGGATAGTTTTATCAAACTTCATATGCTGATACATACTGATGAGAGCTATTCAACTGCATCAACATTTTTTGACCATGACCTTTCCTTTGACCTTGACCTCACTTTTCTTAAATTAGTGTTTAACTTAGTTTTAAAAAAAACATTCAGGATAGTGTTATCAAACTTCATATGCTGACACATACTGATGAGAGCTATTCAACTGCATCAACATTTTTGACCTTGACCTTTCCTTTGACCTTGACCTTACTTTTCCTAAATTAGTGTTTAGCTCAGTTTTAAAGATATCATTCAAGAGAGTGTAATCAAACTTCATATGTTGATACATACTGATGTATGCTATTCAACTGCATCAACATTTTTTGACCTTGATCTTTCTTTTGACCTTGACCTCACTTTTCTTGAATTAGTGTTAAGCTCAGTTTTAAAGAAACCATTCAGGATAGTGTTATCAAACTTCATATGCTGATACATACTGATGAGAGCTATTCAACTGCATCAACATTTTTTGACCTTGACCTTTCTTTTGACCTCACTTTTCTTAATATTTTGTTTAGCTCGGTTTTAAAGAAAACATTCAGGGTAGTGTTATCAAACTTCATATGCTGATACATACTGATGAGAGCTATTCAACTGCATCAACATTTTTTGACCTTGACCTTTCCTTTGAACTTGACCTAACTTTACTTAAATTAGTGTTTAGCTCAGTTTTAATGAAACCATTCAGGATATATTTATCAAACTTCATATGCTGATACATACTGATGAGAGCTATTCAACTGCATCAACATTTTTTGACCTTGACCTTTCCTTTGACATTGGCCTCACTTTTCTTAAATTAGTGTCAAACATCTTGTGCTGAAACATACTGATGTAAGCTATTCAACTGCATCAACATTTTTTACCTTGACCTTCCATTTGACCTTGACCTTACTTTTCTCCATTTGTGTTTAACTCAGTTTTAAAGAAACCATTCATAATATTTTTATCAAACTTCATATGTTAATACATACTGATGTAAGCTTTTCAACTGCATCAACATTTTTTTACCTTGACCTTTCACCTTTCCTTTGACCTTAACTTCATTTATTTTAAGTTAATGCTTAGCTTTATTTTAAATAAACCATTCAAAATATTTTTATCAAACTTAATATGCTGATACGTATTTGTGAGAACTATTCAACTGCATCAAAAATGTTTGACCTCAAACTCTCCTGTGACCTTGATGTCACTTTTCTTAAATTTGCATTTTGCTTAGGTAGTTTTAAAGAAATCATTTAAGATATATTTATGTAAGTTTATGCACTCATACATAATTTGGTGAGAATTTATCATCTATATCAAACTTTTTAGATTTCAATTTTAAAGAAACTATTCAAGATGTTCTCATCAAATTTCATACACTAATACAAATTTTCATGTTGCATTACTAATATACTCTCAGCGGGGCATTCATGTCCTATGGACATATTCCTAGTTCTTAAATTATTTTTTTTTTTATTCCTCAGTTTCATTGACAGCATTCAAATATGTTCTAATTCCGAAATTGCAGTGTTTACTGCCCATTAAATATATTCCATCAGGTTTTTTCTTCGGCGGTGCATGTGCTTGTCCACTTCTCCATGTTAATATTGGTAAAGAAGTGTATGAGCAACAAGAAGTATCTGGTGATCAAGATCTAATACCCGACCATCATTGGCTCATGAAATCTGCAGTAGCAGAAAGTAGTAACTGAAATTAATCGGATATGAATGAAAAAAAAAAAAAAACAATATGACCGGCCTTTACATACAGAATTTAATCGGCCATTACATCTGTTCAGTGTTAAACTTATAGGCCATTTCAGCAGTTAAATTTTATTTTTTCCAGCCATTTTGAATTAATTCTTATAGGCAAATGGCCGATGGCAATCTGAAACCCTGGATTGTAATAAATAATTCCTGCTTGTCAGTAACATTCCAGTTTACTTGGTTCAATTACTATCAAAGTGCTGTTTTATTTGCAAAAACTATGCGTTATAATGCAAAAGTTTCACATTTATTCCTGAAAGTTATTCCTTATATTGCCAAAATTCAAAAAGTTTCACATTATTCACAAAAGTTTCGTGTTATACCGCAAAAAATAATTTTTTTTTCAACATACCAAAATGAGTCCAATGGCTTTCGCACTAACATTTATCTAGACAGACTTTCAAATTATAATAAGTCAATTAACACTCTTTATAAATCATATAATCAATTGCTTGTATTACTCAAAGAATTAAGTATTTTGTTGGTATTAACAGTAAATGTCATTTTAACAGTGTTTGTGTTGTGAGGCCCACCTCTAACAGGATCTTTGCATACTTCATCCTGTAGTATGTAATTCCAATATCCCTTAGTGATAAGTCATTTCTTCAACATATTTAATATGTACATGTACATGGTGATAAGCTTAATAACTTATACAGGTAAAGATTAACTGTATAGTATCCTTCTATTTAAAAAGGGCAGAAATAAAAAAATATTTCATTACTCATTATATTTTTATTACAATTCGGTAGGATTATAATTCAATTAATTTCAACAAAAATACTGTACACATTTTATAAATGATAAAACTCCAGCCTTTAGCATGTTTAGTAAATGCAAAACTTTAAAATCACCCAAGATTGACCTTAACTTCAAATCAAAAATCGCCTATAGACAGAGGAGTTTGCTGATCCTCATGTGTCATATAAAGATTATGCTTTGGATCTTATGCAGCAGGCAAAAAAGTTTTCTGAGAATCTTTGAATTCATTCTTTTATACAGCATTGATTCTAATAACCCTATCATCTTACCTCCTAACCACATGACAAACAGATTGAAAATGAAATTTTGAATCAAAAAATAGGTCTTACTGGCTATTGAAATCAAATTTGAAATATAATGGACATTAATGGAACAATCTTGAAAAAAAATTATAGGAAACAAGCCCAGAAATTTACAACGGATAGACAGGGTGATTACTATGGTATAGGACATCAACAAATCCTTGGGAGTTGCATGACACTAATAAAAAAAAATAATTGTGCAAAAAATACAAATAAAATTAAATGTTCGAGTGTTGTTTTTTTTCCTTAGAAAATATTATAATTTGATTTGGAAGTATGTCTGATAACTGTTTTATCCAGGCCATTTACCCTCAACACAGAATTCGAGATTTAAGGAAAAACGTGTCAAAGAACCACTTGTTATCCAGTTACATAATTGCACAAATTGCTTTAAAAATAGTCTTAGCATTTATTATGCTTATTCTAGAAGCTTCAAATCAGCTAGCTTTTTTTTTCTTTTCATCTAGAACTTTCTAGAAGAGTTGTTAAATGGGTAAATCAATCATGCTAATATCATCATTGTAATCAATATGCAGTTTTTCAGTAATATGCATTATAATTTATTTATCATAAACAGTTATCCAACACAAATCTGAATAGCAAAGGTCTTAATGATGTTCTACAAGCTACAAAAATATAGTAAACTGAACCTTCACATGCTTTATCACAATCACTCTATGCAGTCATCAAAATTGCCAAACATACGGTTCATGAATGAAACGGCCCAAACAGGGATAAGCAAACTTACTAACATTACCTGAGTCCACTTTGCAATCCAAGAAATTTAAGCAGGCGACGACCAGTTCGCCAAGAACATCTTACTTTACACAACATAATTTATTTTGAAACAGCTGACTGCATGGTGAAATTATAAACTATGAATAACAAACCCGATCGTAAATTTAGAAAGAGACAGGCAGTTTAATGCCCCTTTGTTAGCAAGGACAAAACATATAAGTCATTGATGTGATAAATCGACAGAAAAAGTAAAAATATATATATAATCTGTCAAATTTCCTCATAATTATCGGGTATGCCTTTAACAATTTTTCCATGAACTTATAGGCACTGCAGCTTTAATACCAACATCGGGTTCATAATTTTTCACAAAATTAATATCTTAAAAATAAAAATATTAAATTCTGCAAAATTCAAAAATATTTTAATACCTTTTTATCATGGTACGCGATGATAATTTTTTTTTCTACAGAAATCTACTCGGCAAATTCCGTAATATTTACGTAAAATTCCGGGCACGTGTTTACGTAGCAACGTATAGATACAGGCGACATTATTGCTATTGGTGACTCGTTGAACGCGCAGTACGGTGAGATCCAATGTTCTGTAGTTAGAAAAACTAAAGTAGAAGAAATATGGCATCGGAACTCGAGCTAAATGATGCTCGGGTGGAGTTTATTGCTGACTATGTCATCAAAACTCTCAAGATTAAGCCCGACAAATGGACCAAGATGTACAGTTTGGAAGAGACAAAACAAATGTATATGGACTTCTTTGAGAAGCAAGATATGCCATGTCTCATAGTTACTGCAACTGCAGCAGGTGGACTTAACACCCAGTTTGAATGGCCAAACAATCCAAAAGCTAAAGCTTGCTACTTTGTCAAGAAGGGAAGAGAAGGAATTACAAAGGATACCAATTTTAGAAATGCCTATCTTTATGGTGACATGTCCTACCAGCCTTTGGACCAGCTCTCTGCTTTTGTTGATGAAGTAAGTTTCAAGAAGATTAAAATAACATTCCATATACTTTAATTGATTTTTTTTAATGAAGTCATTAGCAAACTTTTATCTGTATACATATAAGGTATTAAAGGTACGTGCAATGTCCTTGACAGAGGTTTTCCTGGCTTTATATCAAGTTATGACTCATGGTTTAATTTAGAATTGTGTAAGGATTTTCTGAAAAGGTCAGGGGTGAGAATCTTTTTAAAATCCTGCCAGACTATAACTGAACAATAATGATCAATTAAATCTCTATGACAAGACCAAATATTGAATATGCAGGTGCTTGCATAAAATATGACAGATTAACAAGGACTTGGCATGAACTATTAAAAAGTATTAACTCAAGTCAGAGTCTTTAAAAACAATGCCAAGTTGATTTACAGGTGTATATTGATTGCTTGATCAATATTTAAATATCCATGCAGCAGAAATAGTACATTTTCTTTAGTTTTAATGATTTATCAACTTTACATTTGTATAATAAATGAAAAGAAAATCCCACTTTTAATTTTCTCCTACTTTTAATTTCCTCCTACTTTATTTCTTAGGTCTTGGTGCCACTTCTTTCCAATGATAGAAACCATGAACAGTGGCCCCATGTTGTTTCCAAAGATGTCACAAGACATGTCCACAATCTTAAGAGCAATGTGTATGTTGTATCAGGTCAGGCTAAAGGAAAGACCCTTCTTCCCCTTCCTGTGGGGGCTGAGAAAGTGGAACAGGTTGAGGATGACAAGTAAGTTGAGAATGCCTGTAACTAAGACAATAATTATAAACATCATACAATATTGAGTAAGAAAAAAATGTACATAATAAACTAAACTTAGCAAAACTCACTGTAAAAAAAAAGAATGACAGACAAAAAACCCCATAGTGTATGTATGTGTAAATGTTTCATTGCAATACTTGAAACGGAAAAGAAAGACGAAGTGACATTATAGAATTATATCTTATATTTAATAATGAGTCTTGGTTCTTCAGGGACACACTTGACAGAGCACTTATTCATGCCATTGAGTCTGTAATCATTGACTGGACACATCAGATTAGGGATGTTCTGAAAAAGGACTCAGCTCAACCTCTGCTGGAGGGGCTTAACCCTACCCCCTTTGTGGAGATTGAGTTCTGGAAGAACAAAGCCACCAACTTGGAATGCATCTATGATCAGGTTTGTACAGTTTGATGTTACTCATCCCCCCTTCTCCAAACATACACAAAAACAAATAATAGATTTTCTTAATGTTTATTGCCTCACTCATGATTTATTATGATTTTGTACATTTATCTTTATGAACTTTCAGCTTAGGGATCCAAAAGTTAGGAAGATGGCAGAGATTTTAGAGAGAACACAGAGCAGCTATTTTCCCACATTCAAGGACATCTTTAGGGATGTTGTGGCAGGTAATAGCAAATGAAATATTTTAAAACCGCTAAAATTTATCTTTTATTCTGTAAACATTTTCCCATTTTGCACTTTGCAGAAGAAGTTACACTTTGATACTAACCCTGATATCTTTGCAGCTTTGACTGAGGCACAAGACATCAACATTTACCTGAAGCCCCTGCGTCATCACTTTGAAGATTATGAGCAGGCAGAATTTGATGAGAGCATCCCTATGCTTGCCCCAATGATGCATACTGTGTGTCTGACCTGGGCCAACTCAGAATACTACAACACACCAGCTCGCATCATTGTTCTTCTGCAGGAAATGTGCAACATGATTATCAACATGGTAGGACCTAAATAAACAAATCGAATTTCTGAAAGTTCACTGAAAGAATAAACAAAAGGTATATTATTAAAAGCATATCTCGTAACCCATTAAAATCTGTTTCTACATAGGCCAGAAACTTCCTTGATCCATCTGAGATCTTCAAAGGAGAAATTGAAGAGACCATTGAGAAAGTCAGGAAAGCTTGCAGTGTCCTTGATGCCTACAAAAGCACATATGAGGATCACAAAGAAAGACTAAAGAGCTACTTCCCAGAGGGAACAGAACCCAGACTGTGGGAGTTTGCTCCCAAACTGGTGTTTGCTCGGTTTGACAAGTTTATGGAGAGAGTGAAGACTGTTAGGGTACGTTCAGATTTAAATTTTCTTACAAAAATTTATAAATTTTTCTCATACCTTTTCTTCCTCATGAAAGATGTGTTTGCTTAGCTGGATAATAAATTTACAGGAGCTGATGGAGACTGCTCTAGAGTTTATGAAGTTGGAGAAGGTTGAGTTGGGAGGCATCAAGGGAAAACTTCTGAGTCAGCAAGTGGTTCAGCTGCATGAAGAGTTCCAGGAGCAGTATGGAGTCTTCACCAACAAATCCTACGATTGTCTGGACCCCAGCAGCAATGTAAGATAGTAACATAGCTAGTTTCTAGAATTATGGCATTGAGCATTGTTTTAACTCAATGAAACTTGCAAGTACAATTTGAAATGCTTTTTTGACAGGAATTTTTGGATGACTATCAGATGTTTCTGGACAAGATTGGTGACTTTGACAGGAGACTAGCCACTATTATCTGTCAGGGATTTGATGACTGCTCAGGACTAGAATCAGTTTTCAAAGTATGTATCATATTTGGTAGACCAGTATCGTTTTCTTTAATTGATGATGAAATTTGCATTTATTTTATATGAAAACTATATTTGATGGGCTTTTTACAAAAAAAAAAATGTTTTGCTTACTTATGTTGCAGCTGTTGGACATTATGGGTTCCTTGCTTGAAAGAGATCTGATCAAGAAAGATTTTGATGAGAAATATCCTCTCATTGTGAAAATGATGGATGCAGAATTAGACACAGCCAAATTTATTTATGATGAACAAATGGCTCGCAAGAAAGAGATGGGTAAGGCATCTCTTCACAAGAACATGCCCAAAGTGTCTGGCAGTTTGAGATGGGCTCAAGAACTCCGAGAAAGGATTTCAGCTTCAATGGGGAACTTCAAGGCATTGGAACACAGGTACTGAATTTACTAGGCTCTTACATACATGTATCTCCTTAGACTCAATATTTTGTTTTGATAGAAATTGGTCTGTGTTGAACAGAATTTCAATAAATATTTTCTCATTTGTTTACAGGTGTATGGAAGAAGAAGAGGCCAAGTTGGTTTTTGTCAAATATGAGGAAATGTGTAACCTTCTGAGTCAGTAAGTATATGTTTGAAATACTTTAAGTACATGTACATGGAGATTGGCTCTATTGTACAGTAATGTAGATGTCTGAGCAGTATAATATTTTGCATATGAGATAGACAACAGTGACAATGGCATGTGTTTACAGGTGGGATGAAGAAATTTACAAGGAATGGGAAGCTGGTGTGAGTGAAGCATGTTCATTTAACCTCAGTCAACCATTGGTTGTAAGGGATGAAGAAACCAAACTCATCAATGTAAACTTTGACCCACAACTGACTGCTGTCTTAAGAGAGGTGAAATACCTTGAGACACGTAACCAAGAAGAGATTCCCCAAAGTGCTGCAGAAATGTACAAAAAGAATGACACTCTGTGGAAGTACCTGACAAACTTAGATCTCACCGTTCATCTGTACAACAAGGTCAGAAACACCATCCTAGAGGTGGAGTTCCCACTCATTGAAGGCCAGCTACAGGACATCGATGTCCAGTTAGAGCAGGCCGAGAAATCACTGAACTGGGAGAGCCAGGGAGTGTGGGAGTATATTGAGAAAACAAGAGACCAAGTGATTGACCTTGAAAAGCGTGTTCAACAGGCCAAGGACAATGTAGAGGAAATTAAGATGTTGATGGCAACCTGGAGTAAACAGCCTCTGTTTGAGAGGAAGGAGGACAAACATGACACTTTGCTGAATCTGGACGACAGGAAAGAACGACTTGCCAAACGTTATGAAGAAATCAAAAATATCGGCCAAAAAATCCATGGACTTTTACAAGTAAGGAAGAGTTTGATGTATAACATAAGAATTTTTTCATTTTGTGCTTATTAAAATTATATTAGATTGTCAGAGCATAAAAATCTTAATTTCAAAGAGTAAGTTATTGAAATTTCTATTTCGTAGAAAAATTTGGAGTTATTCAAAGCAGATGGAAACACCGACACATGGAAGGCTTATGTAGACTATGTAGATGAAATGATTGTAGATGGATTCTTTAACACAA